TGTTCTGAGGATCAAGCACAATAATATATAAAGGATCTGACAATGTGCCTGGCACTCACGGGACTTCTTTAAACTGGGTAAGATCATTAACTTTTCTTCATCCTCCTGAGGCTCCATTTCTAAATTTTTCCACTGGGAAGACAACTTTTCCATGGAGGCCTTGTCTTTACTCTCTGTGGCACTTCTGGGAGTGGAAAAACAAAAGTCTAGTTCCTCTTGATGGAAGAGTCCCCTGTCATCCTTTAGAGAAGTGGTTCTCAACCTGTGGTTCATGACACCCAGAAGACTATCAGAAAATGCAGATATTTACAGTGTGATTCATAACAGAAGCAAAATCATAGTTATAAAGTAGCAACAAAAGTAATGTTACAGTTGGGGGTCACCAGAACATGAGGAACTGTACTAAAGGGTCGCAGCAAAAGGAAGGTTGATGTTGAGGGATAATTGATCACACCACGACACCCTAAGACTGTGTCAATAAAGTTAACCTTGAATGAGGAGGTGGAGCCAACAACTGGTTGACAAGAATCAGTCATAGAATAATGGAGAACCCAGGATGTAGATAGAGAGGCACAGGAAGGAATAAGGACTTGGAAATTTGCAGGGTTTTTGGATTTCTGTTTTTGGGGGGGAGTCTACAAAGCATGGCAAAAAGGTCAGCTGGTGACCCCTCTGCTGCTTCTTTGATCTATGCAGTTTTCACCCCAATATCTGACTCCCAAGTCTTTATTAGTAATAGAATAACTTAGATTAAAACAACAGGTTGAGAATCACTGCTCTAGGTCGTCCATCTGTGGCTTTCTCGAAAGTACTGCCAAGTACAACTTTCTCAACTCAACACCTATGGGTGCCGTTACTACTCATGACAACCTGTTCTCCCAACTGCCCATGGTATGTGAGAAAGCCTGTCCACTTAAAACAGGTAGCTTTCTTGTCTCTAGGCAATGCATAGCTGTTTCCACTGGTGAGCAATGCTACGCCAATGCTACATCTCTCTCTTTAATTTCTGTTCTGACATCCCCTAATCTAGCCATCATCTTCTATCCACATAGGTATTTGTCTATTATAGCACATGCCAAACTGAGCCTTTACATTACTTCAGTAAGTGTTTCAAGGTTATTCATCCGTCCATCTGCAGATTTTATTGTTTATCATTTGTCTATTGTGTAATTCTGTTATTTTTAACTATGATTCGCTAAGCGCTTTGCCCTTCACAAACACTTTCAAATAAGTATTTATTTGATCTTTTTGAAAAGTCTATGATGAAAGTAAACCAGGTAATTTTCGGTTTCACTCTTGTATTAGTGGGCAGAAAGTTTAAGCCAGCTGGCTAAAGCTACTAGTTAATTCAACTCAATCCTGTGTCTTCAATTTGTTTTTAAAATATTGCATTTCATATAAAAGCAAAAATATAAACACTAATTGCTTTTTAGGTCATAAAGTTATACATTTTAAACACATAAGATACAATTAAAGATTATGTAATCACCCAAGTGTCATTTTAAGTGTATTAAATATTTATTGCACATTTTGATTGTGTAAGAGATATGGCATGGCACACTGAACCTCATAGAAGTACACGTGAAGGCATTGGCACAGGAGACCACTTTCCTAAATATAACCCCGGTAGCGCAGACACTGAGAGACATCCTAAAACTGAAAAGCTTCTGTAAAGCAAGACAAAACGACAGCCTACAGAATAGGAAAAGATACCCACATTAGACAGAGGTCTGATCTCCAAAATATACAAAGAATTCAAGAAATTGGTCATCAAAAGAATAAATAATCCAATAAAAAATGGAATACAGACCTAAACAGAGAACTCTCAACAGAGGAATCTAAAATGGCTAGAAGACTACTTAAGGAAATGTTCAACATCCTTTGCCATCCAAGAAATGAAAATCAAAGCAACTCTGAGATTCCATCTTACACCTGTAAGAACAGCCAAGATCAAAAACATTGATGACAACTTATGCTGGAGAGGTTGTGGGGAAAAAAGGAACACTTCTGCCTTGCTGGTGGGAGTGCAAGCTGGTACAGCCCCTTTGGATATCAGTATGGCAATTTCTCAGAAAATTAGAAAACAACCTTCTTCAAGATCCAGCAATACTATTTTGGGGTATATACCCAAAGGATGCTTAATTGTACCACAAGGACATGTGCTCAACTATGTTTATAGCAGCATTGTTTGCCATAGCCAGAACCTGGAAACAACCTAAATGCCCCTCAATCAAGGGATAGATAAGGAAAATGCGATACATTTACACAATGGAGTACTACATAGCAGAAAAAAATAATGACATCTTGAAATTTGCAGGCATATAGATGCATCTAGAAAACATTATATTGAGTGAGGTAATCTAGACCCAGAAATACAAATATCACATGTACTCACTCATAAGTAGCTTTTAGACATAAAGCAAAGAAAACCAGCCTACAATTCACAATCTCAGAGAACCTAGACAACAATGAGGACCCTAAGAGAGACATACATGGGTCTAATCTGCATGGGAAGTAGAAAAGGGACAAGATCTCCTGAGAAAATTGGGAGCACGGAGACCATAGGAAAAGGTTGAAGGGATGGGGGGAGAGAAAGGGAGGGGAGCAGAAAAAAAGTGTATAGCTCAATAAAATCAATTTTTTAAAAGAGAGAGAGAGATGGCATGGTTTATGCTTTAAACCATGTTTACGACTGCTTTGTGGAGAAGATCTGAAGGTTGGAATTGCAGATAACAGCCGGTTATGGGACTGTTGTAGCTCAGGGAGGTGAGAGAGGCCTCGGAACAGTTCAAAATACAAAAAGATCTGTATGTTGTGACGCCGATTGGAGTAGAATGGTGAGTTTAAGGGTCACACTCACAATCTGGATACAATCGAGAATCACCCAGGAAATAAGTGTCAGTATGGGACTGTCTAACTAAGGTTGGCCTGTGGGCATGTCTATAGGGTACTATCTATCTGGATGGGACTGTCAAGTTAAGGTTGGCCTGTGGGCATGTCTATAGGGTACTATCTGGATATCCTAGTCACTGTTCTATTGCTGTGAAGGGATACCATGACCAAGGCAACTCTTATAAAAGAAATCATTTCACCAGAGGCTTGCTCAAAATTTCAGAGGGTTAGTCCATTATCATCACCGTGGGAAGCAGAGAGAGAACCCTACACCCTGACCCATAGGCAGTAGGAGAAGAGGGAGACTGGGCCTGATGTGGGCTTTTGAAATCTCAGAAGTCATCCCCCAGGACACATTTCCTACTTTAAGAAGGCCACAGCTTCTAATCCATGTAATGATTCACTAACTGGAGACTAAGAATGCAAATCTAGGACTCTGTGGAGCCATTCTCGTTCAGACCACCACGCTTGGCTATGTTAATTTATGTGGGAAGACCCAGGTGAATGGGTGAATGGCACCATTCCATAGGTTTGGGTCCCGGACTGTATAAGAAAGAAGATGAGCTAGGCAATTATACATGCAGTTCCTCACCCTCTGCCCTCGACTGCTAGGACTCCAAGTTCCTGCTACCTTGACAACCCTGCACATTAGACCATAAATAGTAATGATTATCCAGACAATTCCTTTCTCCCCTGAATTGTGTTTGTCAGGGTATTTTATCAAAGCAGCAAGGAATGGAACTAAGACATGGCAGAGTGGACGTGCAATGTGAACAGAAAGAGAATTCAAGACAAGAGCAACTTGAGGTTTGGGCCTCAGAAATTGTTGGGCAATGAAAGCAGAAAGAGAGAGAAAGTCTTTCCTGGACTAGTCGAAATTCGACTTTAGTTGGCATTGGCCATTCCCAAGGGTGGCTGGATGTGCCATGCACAGAAGGAAAGGGATTATTGGGGTAGACATCTGAGTGTATTACTGCACCAGTGCAACTTGAAATTGTCTCAAGTGGTACCCATGTGATCTACATAGCTGGAAAATCGCCATGATGACTTTAGTCACCAAAGAAGCCCCAACTCTTAAATCAGCGGTCTAAGTGGTTCAAAGTGTCAAACTGATTTGCTATAGCTGATCACACTGAGTGAGGCTAACAGGACACTATCTGCCCTCAAACTAATCATTTGTTTATTGTTATGGGGGGAAAAAATCCAAGCGTTTCTTGCCTCCTCTTGCTTTGTTTTGTTTGCTTTGTCTCCATGTCTTTTCATTCAAATACAGAGACAGTAGTTCAAAGAAAATAATTTCAATTTGTTTGTTTTAAACAGCAGCAAATAAATAATTGTTAGCTCTCCACCTTGAAAATAATTTAAACAGAATTTTTGAGTAATTAATTACTTTAAATCTTTGCAAGTCCACAGGAGCAATGGCTATATCATGCTTCTGGGGTGGGGGCCTCAGCCAGGCAGTCCTCTTGGACTGAGAACGGAATCAATAAACAACCTTCATATTATAATTCACACATCACGCAAGGTGTATAAAGCACAGCTTCTTGTTTACTCCTCGTGCTGGTGGTTGGTTTTGGGGAGCTGATACGTGTCACCTGGGAAGAGGAAAGCTCAGCTGAGGAACGGTCTCCATCAGATTGGCCCGCAGACATGTCTATGGGCTATTCTCTTGACTAACGATTAAGGTAGAAGGGCTCAGGCCACAGTGGACAGTGCCATCTCTGCACAGATTGTCCTGGATTATACAATAAAGCCATGGAGACAAACCATGGAGAGCAAGCCAGTAAGCATTATTCCTCCATGGCCTCTGTTACAGCTCCTGTTCCTGCAGTGAGCCCCAGTCTTGGCTTCCCTTGACGATAGACTGACTTATAAACCAAATAAAGTTTCCTCTGGGCCAAGCAGAGAAATGGCTAATATGGTTCCTGTCCCCTAAATAACTAGTCATGGCCTGAAATAAGGACAAATGTTCCACGTAAAAATTTTTTTAACATGGTCAGTGATATGTTAAGCTATCCATAACCACTTACAAAATTTGTGAGCCCAAGGTTAAGAATCTTGGGATCTGATGGAGGATATTTGTTTAAATTGTTCTTATAAAATCATGTGTGCTCACATTGGCAGCACATACACTAAACAGGATGAAATGACACAAAGAGAATTTGCACAGCCCCTGCACAAGCGTGTCACGCAAATTTGAGAAAATAATTTGAAAGTGCCTTGGGTTCCAGGCCATTGCTCTCTATGCCTCAGCTGTATGCTGTCTCCTGAAAGGTGGCCTTGGCATTTCAAGTAAGATATCAAATTAAAAGACTACTTCACCAGCAAAAGACGGTTAATAAATCATGATCCTGAAGGAAAATGTTACGGTCAAGGGGAATTTGGTTTTGGTCACACTCTATTTTCTGCGTAGTTTCAGGAAACTGATTTTATTTTAAAGTCTGTTCTTACAATGTTTTCGACCTGTACTTTGGCAGGATGCAAATGAATTAAGCCCCCCTGGGGTTTAAATAGACTCAGAGTAAAATGGATTAAGATTTTAGAAAATTGAGGATTTCTTTTACACAAGGAAGTGTCCTCTTTTTCTCCTAAAAACAAAGTCCCTGAGGTTGGACCAGATGATATCCTGGGACACAGAAAGTTCATTCTGATAATTTTCTAGTCCCATTTCACCTCGTGCTGTAATACTCTCTATCCTGCATACAGCTCATAATGAAATGATTGACTTGGTAAAAATGTGCAAATATGTTATAAATAAGTGCCTATTCATTAGTACATTATCAAAACATTTTCAGTAGTAGGGGGTCTACTTTCAACAGCTGGTGCTTATAAACTTCAATGACTCCGCTCTGATCAGAAGGATCTGTGTTTTCTGGAGGAGTGGGAGGAATCAAGCTTTAGCTGGCAGGTCACGGTTGGCTATTGGGTACCCCTCCAAGCCAAGAAGAGAGAAGAACAGGAAGATGTGACAGACTGGAAGCAGCCGCAGAAAGCAGATGCGTGTCCTCTGCTTTGTACAGAGGTGTTGACTCTTAGCCGTCTCACACCGGACATCTCCAATGTCCTTGAAAAGACAAAAGAGCTGGCATTCTGTTTCCTAATTAAATTAACTCAAATAAAGAAAAATGGGTACAAGTCCACAGGCCGGTGTTGTAAAACAGCGCGAGTGGGATGGTGGGTGAGGACCAGGCGAGAGAGATCTTTGTGGCAGATGGGTCCAAACTGCAGCAGGTTCGACAAATAAACCATGCAGACAGAGCTTGAGTGTGGCTGGATTGAGATGAAGGGAATGGGGAAGGGAGGACAGAACGGAAGAGAGAGACGGAGAAAAGGAGATGCATAGAGGGAGAGGGAGGGGTGGGAGAAAGGGAGGAGAAGAGGAAGAGAGGGGGGAGGGGGAGGGAAAGGGGGAAGGGGGAGAGGGGGAGAGGGGGAGGGGGAGAGGGAGAGAGGGAGAGAGGGAGAGGGAGAGGGAGAGGGAGAGGGAGAGAGAGAGAGAGAGAGAGAGAGAGAGAGCTGCCTCCTCAGAGAGATTGGCAGAAAGGACAAGAGGGGGGAATAGGCGGAGCTTGTCTCTTAAAGGGACCTTTCTTTGAACCTGCATACAGTTAGGGAACTGCTTGCCTTTCTCAGAGGGGTGAGGTGCCAGGTCTCCCAGGGGCAGGGCCAAGGTGTGCCTAGATACTAACAGCTGGTGCTTATGGTAAAAGCAGATGTTCTAATCAGGATAAAACTTCACAAAAGCAGCAACAGTAAAGAACTGGCGATTTCCTTAGCATGATGGAGGCTCACAGGGACATGACCTTTGCTCTCTGAAAAAGCAGCGTTTTCCATCAGCATTTGTGACTATAAAACGCCTTGACTTGCATTTGGTGTGTGACTGAGAATCATCAAAAGCAGGAGAAATTACTTTTTGATCTTTTTCATTAGGAAATTTTTTAAAATATACCTTTAGGTAGCACTTATGCAAGAGAAAATGGCTGAAACGATTCTTTTTGAACTTAGAGGTTAATTCGCACCTGCAAATCTGCACAAAGACTGATGTGATGCCCATCTGACCAGCTCCTGGTAAGATGAAGATGGAGGTAGATGCTGAAGCTGAAATGCCGAGAGGCAGCTGACGATGGCCACACCTATGAGCGGAGGAGGGGAAACCACAGTGTACGGTAATCAGCCTGCCACTGCTGGGGTGATAAACCCTCCAGTAGGCGTATTAACCACAACATGTTAATTCTTTTACATTTTAAAGTTCACCAAATGAGCTGCTCGGCATCTGGGGATGTATCTGTCCTTTGACCACGAGATTGAGTAGAATTAACCTTTTTGAATTTGAGTATTGCCTATTAAAAAGCATACACTGACTGGAGTTTGCGGCTGCCAGAAGAGTCACGTTTTATTGTTCACTGAGGGTCGACACGAAAGCCAGAACAGCTTGTGCACTGAGGTGACGCATGTGGCAGACACCACCAGTCAACTGGCTACTAGCATCTTGCATTCTCACACAATTGTGACTTTGGCCGTGGAAACTGTACGTGTAACTAAACATTTACACTCTCCCAGGTCAGAGTAGCCGTGTCACCGGGAACCTGATGTTTCATGTGCAGACCAAGTCCCTAAGGAGCAAAAGGACCACATTGTGAGTAGCAGGCTTGAGTTTGACACCTTTCTGCTTCCTGGGATGGAGATCTGGGCCTGGAGGAACAGTGCCCATTTGTTACCATAACAACAAGAGCCAATGCTAAGGAAGACACAGCAGCCTGTTCCTGGCATCAATTGTGAGGAGCTGGACCAGTTCTTGGTATTTTTCTTGCCTTTCTGTTGTATGAAAAAAGAAGGCCCTCCCCCCAAAAAATCTATACAGTATATTTTGGTCAGACTTCCCTTCCCCCAGTTCCTCCCAGATCCTAGCCAACTGCCTACTCACTCAATTTTATCCTTTTTCTCTCAAAAAACAAAAACAAAACAAAACATAAAAATCAAAACCAAAAATAATAGTAAGACAAAAACAAAACCCACATAAAAAAGAGTAGAGTACATTTAGGATTGGATAACTGTTCCTTGGCATGGGCCTGCCCTGGAGTGTGGCTGATATACTCGGTGACACACACTCCTTTGGAGAAAACTGGTTTTCCCTTTCCCAGCAGGTACCCATCCTAGATAGCTTCTTGGTTAGAGGTGGTCGTGTCCACTTCCCTTCTCAGTGCTGGGCTTTCATCTGGCTCGAACATATGCAGATCCTGAGCATCCTGCCAAAGTCTCTGTGAGCTCGTATGTGCATCAGTCCTGTTATGTCTGGAAGATGCTGTTTCCTTGGAGTCACCCTCTACCTTTGGTTCTGTCTCTCAGTATCTTCATCATAGATCCCTGAGGCTTGAGGGGAGGGCTTTGGAAAAACAAAATTCTTCTTAGAACTGAGTGTGTCAAAGTCTCTCGCTCTCTGTACATTGTCCTGTAGTGAAGGCCCCTTATTTTTTTTAGGCTACTGTTAATGGACTTTCTAGGGACCTGATTCTTTACAATGTTTTGTTATTGGGGTAAGCATAGCTTTAAATGAAATGTACCATATAATTTATTTTTTCACTATTTCCACAATGAGGAACTTGGCAATTGATAACCCAACTGAGAATGCCCCGTTAGTACTCAGCACAACTTGGACCTAGATCCAAATTTCAGTCTCTCTCTTTTGCCCCAGGACTCCAAACCTCACTGCTTAGGTAGGTCTCTCCACTGCAGCTTTGTTAAGAACATCTGTGTTACAGACAGCCACCAAATCTAGAGAGTGCCACTCTCCTTTAAAAAAGTAGATGTATTTACTCAGTCCAGGGTAACTAGGTCTTCCTGCCACACCAGAGATTTGCTTAGACCCTAAAGTAATAAAGATACTGCCTTCCTTAGGGGCAGGGTTTGCACAGGGTTCCCTGCAGCTCTTTATGGCCTTGAGTGTTCCCCTGTACTCGAGAGTCCTCACCTGGGATCAGTGCCCTGGATGCCAAGGGTGTACAGGCCCACCTCTGTACCAGCTCCATCGGACTGACTGGGAGGCTCAGGGTAGTAGCATTACACTCACAGATGCATCAGCTTTCTAGACACATTCGGGTTGGATGTCTCTTTATTGACAAAGTCTGTAGGTATGTTTCGAGTCAATTTCACAGCTTGTAGTAGCCATTGCAGCTTACAGGTAACTTGACCTTCATGTCATCACCACTAGGTGACAGACAGTCATTTATGTCACTCAGTTAAGATGTCTCTTTTTCATTGACGATGATATTGAAAGAATCAGCTACCTAACATCCTAGTGATTCACGCTATCCTTTTAAAAATTACAATTCCTCCCAAAACAATAATTTCCGACTTTTCAGAATTCATCAAACTTTCGAGTTTCAGAAATTTGGCAGCATACTTGAAAGAATTAAATACCAAAATACCAAACTCATATCGAAGTCACAGACAGTAACATTGAAATAGTCATTATAACAGCATGTCAATAGCTTGCTATCCCTCGTAGGATGTCAACACGCGCATCTATGAGAATAGAGCTGCCTCCCGGCCTGACTGTAACCTAATTTATATCCTCATGGTGCAAAAGTTCTCATGTGTTCCAGCAAGCACGTGCCCTTTCATTAATGCCAGTCATAAAATAACCAAGCCGTATTACACTGTCCAAATATGCTGTTTGCACCATATCCCACAGAGTTCTGAGTGACAGTATCCACTACAGCAGTGACAAGATTGTCACGGTCTGATAACACGTTAGTTACAGGATATGGTCACACATCTGTGCCAACATGCTGACTCTATAGCACACCTGGAGAGCAACGGGCAGCACATCAGCGTTCACCAAGTGTGACAGGAAGGGCATTGAGGGTCGCGGTAGCCACCTTTCATGGCCCCTTGCGGAGCATGAAGCCTTCCCTGACCTAACACACTTGGTGAAAACTCCCTACCTACTCAGAAGTGTTTCCAAAGAACAGTGCAGAGAAGTACCACCCACAGACCACTCACAGCCCCACCTCCATCATTAGCAAGAAGATCTTGTCTCTTCCCTCTCAACTTTTGTCTTGGCTTTCACTAATTTGGTGCTTTAGTAAAGAGAACAGGAGCAGCTGGCAATGAGAAGCTTGTAGTCTCAACACCACTGTTAGTCAATGCTCAGGAAGAATAAGGAAAATGTCAGGTCCAAGAAAACTCAGAATGATTGTCACAGTGCCTATTAGCACA